AAATTTTGCCTAAATCATGAAACAATGAAAATATATACCAAACAACCTGAGGTCATACAGAGGTGATATTCAAGACCACTAGATTTTTTTTATTATTTAGCTTTGTTCTGCGATCTGTTTATTCAAAAACATTATGCAGAGACATCTAACAATATATATGAGAAAAAATATTGATTAAAAATTAGCAGATAAACCCAGTAGCGTATCTATTAGGGATACACCATATTTACAATTGAAATTAATTATGAACACTTGCTGTGAAGTATCAACGGATAATCTCTAAAATCGTACTTAATCCTAATTCGAGTTAGTCTCGAGTTCGCGTTTTTACCATATCAGGTTCAGAATTTATATATTTCTAACTATATTTACTATATCCCTTATTTTGAAATACCAGCTCTAAATCTAATGCGATAATCCAAAATAGACTAGGGAGAGATATCGTGTTAACAAGTTTTTACCATGAATTTTTTATTCATTCAACGCGCTGCTATATGGTTTCAACAAGTTGCAAGTCGAAAAATTTGAGAAAGAATATGAAAAAAAAACATTTAATTCCTTTATATCTGTATTTCGTTTGAATTTATAACGAACAGAATGCTCGCTTTGTTACGCTCTTATGTTTTTAGTCATCAGATATCAAAGCTTTAATGACGAAATACAGATCAAAACGTTAGAGGATGAATTATCAATATTTATGTTTCTTTCCATATAATTTGATTTGAGATAAATACTTTATGATTAAAGAATTTTTTATTTTTAGGATATTATATTGTAAATGAATGGCTTATTATCTGAAGTATTTTACCGAGCTTCACAATTAATTTCATTGCATGTTAAAAATAACTTGCAATGCTCTTTCACATTCTTATACTGAATTATAAATTTCGAGTGTGTTATTCTTATTTAGCTTCGCTACATTTTTGGTGTTTTATTTTTAGACTTTTGGATATTTTTGACCCATACCATATGTTATATAGATATATAATATATGTGCATATGAAAAGATACAATTGATTTAGAAACTTGGAGCCAGTACAAGTTAAAGTTGTAACGCGGTGTACTACTTATAAGATTCTCATTACACACACAAACACATCTTTTATTAATTTTTGTTAAACGGTATTTTATTAAATTTAATCTTAAGCGACTTCTAACTATAACTTTTGGCTATGTTTGTTAAATTAGTATTTGCAATTTTTTCTCGATGCGAGAAGGTGTGGTTTTACTGCGCCTATTTATTTGGTCGAGCGAAAGTGTGCAACTCATCAATCAATAATGTATAACAAATGGCGTAAAAATACCACGATACTCGCGAAATTTACTAGCACACCAATATTATTTTAAATTATATAGCAACTAAACGCAAACTGAATTGAAATAGAAATTGAAATTGAAATTTTTCAGTTTATATATTGAAATTCAATTTGGTATATGAAGCTAAAATAGATGTAACTATCGATTTTGTCAATATAAATCAAACTTATCATTAAGGAACATGACAATACAATACTAAAACAAGTCATCTTCATTGTCAATATTCCAAGTATAGATTGAAATAGATAATTATATTTTTCAGAAAAATTCTAAGCAAGAATTTTACCAACCTATTTTTGCCAAGAAACGTGATCATAATTATTGAAATATGCATTGAACATCTGACCCAAATTTGAAAGTAATTACTATAGTAATAATTCATCCAAGAACAAAGCGACATAAAATTATAATAACAATACCGGTATTATATAAATAGCTCCAAGTTAAATAAACAAAATCATTATTGCAATAATTTGCGCCATGTTTATTCACCAGTTTGCAATTAAAATAAATATACAATTATTACATAAAGATAAGACATTCGCTACGTACACAATTAGAAGAACATGTCTGGCACAATCGAATTTAACCAATAATATAATAATTAAATTGCTATTGCAGTTTGCATAATAACTATTATATGTTTTTTATTATAATCATATTTAAATTTCTTATTTGAGGATTTAGATTGTGCAAGGACGTTGTGCATGTTATTCAAAATAAAATGAATGAATATCAGAAGTAACCGAAAATGTTATTTTTAAATATAGGAATTACTGAATTTTTTATTGTTTCCATTTCCAAGACACTTTTAAATATTAATCAATGATCTGAAGGAAGTAGCAAAGAAGGTTTTCGATATCCTTTGAAATATGTATACATCTTAGCATCATTTTGCGCAGGTACACATTATTCTGGAATAATTTATTAGAAGAATTTGTTTTTATTTTTTTTATAAGTATATCACTAATTAATGGTTTAGCTGAAAAAGTTCGTTGACCAATTACATTTTTACAATTACCCAATGCTCATAATCAATACTTTAACAAGCTATAGGAGAGAAAATAGCGAACAAATAAAACATATGAATTGCATCGCAGTTTCGCAAATACTGCGCACCTGTCGTTCGACGTGGGATCAATCAATTAGAAACGTCATGTCTGGCCTATCTGCTAGTAGAACTGAACAATTAGTATATACTCTTTGTAATTGTTTCTAGAACGATGAAATTTAATGATGTTCTGTCTGTCGCATGAAAATTAATTAGCGAAAATACGATTAATTGTATTTTGATGCAAAATTATTAATGATCACAGATACGATTGCATGGAAGCAATTATGTATACGCTTCTATCAATTAGGTGTGTACTAAATTAATATATTGTGCTAATCAAATCGGTAATGTTAACGTAAGAAACTGCAGTACCTTTTGGATAATCTTTAAAAATGTTCGAAAAATATCGAGTGTATAATATTGTAAGAGAATCGAAACCTGTAGTAAGCATTATATTATTTTGACGCCTGAGCTTGGTCATTAATAGACAGTAGTCTTAAATGTTTTAAAGCACTTCAAATATCACTCATTATCAGTCAAAAAGTCTATATAATTTTGTTCAAATCTTACGTAATTATTTTCAATTTTGAAGTGAAATAAGCATGTATCTGTATATGTCTATACAATTCAGTATTTGAATATATTAACTACAAGATGAGGCAACTACTGGATGCGACAGTGAACTGTTCATAAAACCTCAAAACGTAAAAGCGTTCACAAACTGCCATAATTTTATGCAGTCAAGACAGCAACATAATTAATTTCTTTTCGCAATATGTAATTATGAATGCATCTCATTCAATTATAAAAGTCGACAAGCGCTTACTATAAAATTTTCTCATTTGCTAGAATGTATCAGAGCCGTCATCCCGCTAAATAATAAGGTTGTCAATCATATTGCTGCTGTTTACATTTTGCATCGTCAATCATTGTTTTCTTGCTATTTCCAATTATGTCGTTGATTCGTTATTCATTTTATAGCTATTTTGTACGCAATCGGTTTTAGTTTGATTGAGTGCCTGAATCGATGCAGCTACATATAACTGACTGACGTTTGTTTGAAATACGGGTTAGTGTTGGATTTTAGGTTTTTCCAATTTTACGAGAGAATAATTTTTAATCAAGCCTTCTACTAGATTAAATTGGATATTGTTTTGAGCTCTTATATGAACAATTATAAGGACATACTCAAAATATAATTACATACATTATTCATTTTTTTAACGAATTCTTGTTTATGAACATATACATTAGAGCGGGTCGATTTGTGTGGGTCAAAAAGTAGCTTAGGCACATATAATTTTCGGATACTAGAGATCAAAATAAGATACTTTGCTGAAGAAACGACACCTCTAAAATAAATTCTGATGTCCCGTGCATTGACCCAAAAATAAGGGTTGAAATTTGAAAAATTCCATTTTGACTCATTTAGAGTGCCCCAATTGCTTTCAAATGTATGGCCGACCCCCCACTAACTTTGGAAGACCCATGCCTCTGATTCAACACCTGGGACCCCCCTGAATGGTTTTTTAGGATTTAACCCTTATTTTTCATCAATACACGAGGCATCAGAATTCATGTTAGAAGTATGGTTTCTTCAGCAAAGTATCTTATTTTGATCCCTAGAATCCAAAAATCATATTTGCCTAAATGACCTTTAAACTGACGCGCCCTAATACACATATTTTATTTATATGGGGTAGCTCCCCTATTGGGGGGAGTTGCAACAGTTTTATTTTAAAATAATATATCTTGAGATCCATTGATAATGTTTCTACGAAACCAAAATGGATAGTTGCTGCAATTGTTCCTCTACCTAATCTCTAATTAATCAAAAATAATTCTACAATTGTTGTTCGTTATCTCACAATTAATCAATTTCTAGCAAGTATGGTGTTACAATTTACTCCGTATTTGGGGCTAGTGGTACCATTGGAAACGACAAGAAAAACGGCAATAATGGATCTGAGAATTTATTCTTTACTGATTTTCAAGAAAATTGATTTGTTTTTAAGTACATAATTATTTTCATAAATTAATGCAAACTATAATTAATACAAGTAAAATATATAATGTCTCCTGTAATATAAATTTTTATCACAATCACCGTAAACCACAATTAATCTCATAATACCAATAAAAAATATACTGTCGCCAGTAACACAATGTTCATGTGGCGACATCTCACAAACTATTCATTCATTATACAACTAGCTTCAAGGTTTTGTTTCAACTAACCTCATGTGTGATTTTTTTACAATAATAAATAGAGCATACAGTTTGGCAATCTCAAAAATTGTTAAACATAAAATTAAAAATTAGTGGATAATAATAAAGCAAACTGAAATTTTATAATAGATCAATTTCATATTACCTGCCAAAATGACGGACCTGCACAATTCTGTTAATTGCATTGGCCTGCGGGACCGTAGCTGTGACAATATTATGCCAAATGGTATATGGATAGTTCTATTATTTAAAAATCATTAATATGTAATAATTATTGGACCATCATTCTGAATATCATTATTTACCTGTTTCCAAGATAATTGAATATTTCTAATGTTTTGAATTATTAATATACACAGTCTAATTAATGATTTTAATCTTAACTTTTTTTCTTTTACAGTCCCAGTGGCGTTTCGCTGGTGTCGTTGTCCCACGTGCGCGGTTACTTGCTCACCACCGGCACGTGCAAATGTGGTCTAGATTGCCCTCTTAAGCCCGAGCTCGTGTTTGACTTTGATCCGAAGGTAAGTGTCACTTTGATCTCTGTATTGGCGAAAGTATGGCATGCCTCATTGGCGTATGCAAATTAGGATAGGGAGTAGGTGTTTGAATTACCGATTTAATTGAATATTAGGTATTAGGTAAAACCGCGAATAACTGGACTAATTGTTGTCGATGGGCATTCGGATAATAAAAAATCCGGATAATCGAATGTATAAAGAATAACGTTGGGTATTTATTAAAATTAACAATTACATACATAGATATCAACGAAAGTCAATTTTTATTAAGAAATTAACACTTCCTTATGTCTGTACATACTAGAGATGGGCTTATTATATCCGAAGCCGGATCGACTCGGATTTAACTCCACTTCATGGTGGAGTTATATCCGCTAAACAACTCCACGACTCCGACAATTTTGAAACCTAAATACTCGAAACAAATGTGTTCTATAGTACGCTGTTTATGTATCTAAGGATTTGTCAAATCCCGTTAATTATTTGAAATAAAAATTTATGAATGATTATCAATAAAATAATTTTTCTAAAAAATTCACGAATAAATGGCGGATTGTAAAATTTTTCGGTCGACCAGATGATCGGCTCAGTGACTCGTATTTTTAGCAGTGTTGACCAAAGTAAAAACGCAAAACTTGAGAATCAAATTCAATTTAATGATTTCCTTTTGATGAGAAAATAATTGATTTTTTGGATTAATTTTATATAAAAATTATGTAGTAAACTTTGTAATAAAAGCAAAACATAATAATAATACTTCTGCTTTCAAAATTTTTCTTCTATTTCCATTTGAGAATTAATATTATATCGCATAGTTCGGTTAGCATATTATTACTTTTACACAATTATATAATTGTGTATTATTACGGCCAAAGATTGTGGTAGTTAGAAATATCACCCCTTACTATTCAATAAATTATACATTTGAGCTATTCACACTTGAATACAATTTCATTGTTCTGTATTTTCAAAGTAACAATTTGTATTTTCTGGAAAATACACAATGGTATTTATTTTGACTTTTATACCTAAAAAAGGTCATAAAACTGCCTGCGTGACAAGAAAGTGACCGCATCCTTCCCAAAGCAAAAACGACAAAAACATTAAATGCCTGTACGAGTTAACAGATTTAATACCAGTTTAAGGAAGTCGGACATGACAAATCCTGTGAAACAACTCCACTCGGATTCACTCCGAGGGAGGAGTTGTATCGGAGTGATAACTCCGGAGTGTGTTACCCATCTCTAGTACATACATATTTTTTTCTATTACATTACATACATGTACATTGCAGCATTAATCATGCTAAAATTCGAATTGTAGGTATGTACATACATATAAATTGGTTGCGGTTGGTAGTCCGGATAATTGCAAATGTGTATAACCTAGGTCCGGATAATCGAGGTTCTACTGTGTTACATTTTATCGTAGATTATTCAATGCATTAGATTTATATTTATTTATTTATTATATTTATATTTATACAACACAATTGTACAATTATAGATATTATATGGTACATAACTTAATTACGATTAATAGATTCAATAAAAGAATAAAGTTTACTTTTCTGCACACTCGTTTTTCATATGGTAAAGTAAATATTTTTGTTTTTCATAGATTAATTCTACTGAAAATTTTTAGATAAAATTGTTAAGGATGTTTGTAGCAGGAAATTTTAATACGTGAAGTACGTATTTCCAAATACACTTCAAATTCGCAATTTTTTGATAGTTTAACATTTAGATATTTATGTCGCATATATATTATTCTTATCAATTTATCATCGGTAATTTGACAATTATACGATATATATCAATTACTTATATAAATACATCAATCATTCTTTACCCAAGATACGTCTATTTCGTGCGACACATCACCTCACAGTTCCCTGTTATGAGTGAAAATTTACTTTGAATAATTTAGTACGTGAATTATTGAATTTCTACGTCTCATGAATTAGGCAAATACACATGTTTCACGCCCATAATTATGTAATACCGCTTATGAAACATTGTTTGATGAATTACCATATAGTCGTCTCTCCATACGTTTTATAAATAAACAGGACAGGACAATAATAGAGAGCGTCGAGAGTGTTTGACATTGTTGGTTCAAGCTACAATTACAGAGTAAGCAAACAGGCGCTCGTTGCGAAGCTTATTACTACTAAAGGTTTTGTCTGTGCATACACTCATTTTCTATTCAGAAGTACAAACTGTGTAATGATACTACGTAGGCGAATGCCGTGAGAAATATTGAATTTATGGTGGATGAGCCTAGTACATAATTGCACTATAATTTTATGTTTTTTGTTCTATGATTTGATTTAGATAAATTAATTATATATAATACTATGAAATATACCCTGGGTTGATCAATTAGGTAATTCGTATAATTTGATGTCATCTAAATATTTAGCGTGACATGAGGAAATAGATGTCGGTAATATTTCTTAGAAATAGGTAGTTCTGACCTAGTGCAGGTTCGTGAGCTGAGTTAAAATCCAACTCAATTCAGGGAAGAATAGTGTTAGAGATTTCGCATTGCCATTTTACAAGTCAGTTTCCAAATTGGTCTTATTTCCAATTGGTAACATATTTTTGATCCATATTTTCATGTGAAAATGGACATCGATGCTGCCCGATGTCAGGTTGTCCAGAACGGGGTTCAAACTTATGACTCCGTTAGACCGTTACGCCATGGAAGACCATTCTTATATATCCAATTTTATTTCGATTCGATTTATCTTGTTTAATTCATATAGCTCTTTGGAGTACGCGAATGACATAAAATTTCAAGATACACATAATGAGTGTGTATATATTATAAATGCTTGTGTATATCGTGATTTCCAATTTCTAACGATATGTATGATGCAAGAAATAGTTTTTAAAAAAATCCACTATTCTTCTCATAATTAAGTTTGAAATTGTGATAAGAAAACAACTGCAGCTGTGTATGTAATGTAAAAGTTTTAAATTAAATCATTCAAAAAGTTATTAAAGCGCTATAAAAGTTCATTTAACTCGGATTCTTACGGGTTATTTTTACGTCGCGGCATGATGGAGTTTTATATCAATTAAACTGTTAAAAACTCTAGAAACTTCAAGAAATTAAGACCAACTTGATTAAAGCAAAAAATGCAATCAAATTGTTTGGCCGTAGTGCATTAATCTACAAATATTTGCTTAGAAGATAGTAATATTATGTTCAATTACAATGGAATACGATTCTGAGAAAACGATTTTCTATTTAGCAATTCATTATTCTGATGAAGAGACAAACTCTAATGTAAAAACGTTTATAATTGCCAATAACTTTTGATTCATTAGCCATAATTGAAAAAAATGTGTAGTGTGTTTATAACTTCACTATGATACATGAAATTTTAAATGCTGATGTTGTATTGGTCTAAAAATATACGAAGTAATGAAATGTAATAATAGTTTTGCAGTTGCTTCGAAAATGCACGAACTATAGCCATCTTCATATATATTTAATTAAGATATTGCATAGATAAACAGCATGAACATTTAACGAAATTTAATTCCTTTTAACTATTTCTGTGTATGAGCTATTACAATGTAATAGCTATAGATTCAACAATAGACCATAGATTTTACGGCGATTTAGCAGGGCTCTGTACCTGGCTTTCCATATGATTTATCGTTTAATGTATATTTAAGAATGAGTAGCAATGCAGTTTCTTATAGCGTCCAGCAATTTCCCTTTGTTTATATTTCTCTACGTGCCCGCAAAGTATATTGCGAACGACCATTTCAATGCGAATCATTTCCCCTTGCAGTAAATCTCTATTGCATTAAATTCAACGTTGAGACTTCGCTGGATTTAATACAAAATGGAAATTTGCTTATGTCGCCGTACTTTTCACGAGAGGAAATTGTAACTGAAGCGCACAATATAGCTGATTTAATTAATTTTATTGTCTCGAGATACGTGCTCGCGCTATTGCTTTCAGGAACTACTTCAGTGAACTATAATGTTATATTGTAGTAGTCTCATTATACTCAGAACATTATGTTTCGGTTAAATGAAATTTATAATGAACCGAATTTTCAATTAGAAACTGTAAAACATTCCATTTTAATTCTATTTACTTCGTACGATATGTTTTATTATTATAAAATGTTACTTCATTTCAAATTGCATCTACCTTGGGCGAATTTAATTCTGTACAGGCTAAAGTTTGAAAACAATAGAGTTTGTGAGTATTGTAAATTATCTTAATACAAGAACAAATATGTTATATTATTGTAATGTTTATAATCGATCAGAATATGTGATGGCACAATTTAAAATTGTGATATTGGTGTATTGGATAAATAGTAAATTAAAATGATATAGCAAATATCGCATAAAGCATTTAAACATGATTCAATCTTACATACTTTTTATGACTGATAGAACCTCTTTCAAGTTAATCGTCCATTTAATTCTACCATTTCAATAATAAAATCAAACATTTATTAGTAATTGTTTACTCAGTTTTATTCCATCATGAAAGCAATTACAGCACATCAACTCAATGTGTTCTTGAAGTCATATTTGCATTCTATGACTTTTAAATAATATAATTTTTTACGGCCGCAAACAAACCATTATTTCGTTGTTTTACGCGTTATTATACAGCAATTATCATGTTTCATAATATTCACTTGGTCTGCGTTCGCTTGTAATAAAAAGTAATTGCGCAATTCTAAATTTTTTTCTGCGATTCATTCAACTCATTGGTCGTTAGCCCGAACGTTTTGAGCAATAGAAAAAACATGGCTAATTAATCAAATAGAAATCGCAAAGGCAAGAAGTACGGGAATAGAGCTGAAAAACCTTGGCCATGATAATAGTTAAATGAACACTGGCCGATCATTACACAGCCAGAGAGCTAAAATATTGTGGACGTTAAGATCAAGATGGTGATGGCGATGCTGATAAAATGCAATTTTGATGACATGTTTGAGACACTTTTATTCTCTCAA